TCTTGTAAGAAATTTTCGAAATAAACGTTTGAATCACGAGCCAGTGTCAAGAGCTCATTCAAAATCAGCCATTCAATCAGCATCCACAAGAGAATTATTAATAGAGTCAACGTCAACAGGACAAATTATTTACAATAATTGCATTTTTAATAACTGTTCGCTTAAAAAAAAATATTCTGTTTATTATTAATACACGTTCATTGTCTTTTATCTATACTTTTAAATACAGTTTTTATTAAACTTTAGCATTATTATACTATTCATGAAATTGTCTCACCAAATACCATTCGAGCTTAGATTTTAACCCTGATATTTTTTATGTTTCTTTTCGAGTAGGTACTTACTTTCGTAGGTAACTTAACTCGACAGACACGACAGTAAGTACTCGAAAACAAACTTAAAAAATATCAGGCTAAATTTGAACTCTTATGGTATTACCCTCCATAATATCAAATAAATTGTTGTAAGCTCAGACTCACAATCAGACTTTATCCTAAATCTAGCGTCCAAATCTCCCATAGTTCTACGAAAGTGTTCGATAGCTCCAGAAATATATACACTGAAAGGACGCAAGGAAGTATCAGATACAAAACAAAAAACACACAAAAATAAATCAGTGCAAAAAGGCATTGTGGAAAGTACCACCAGGTTCTAAATTCTAGGTGAAGAGACAGAAATAGAAGTAGGACGTAATAGCTACGACAATACAAATAATTAAAGAATAGTTGAATTAATAGGCCAGGAAAATCAGCTGAGAAATGACCATTTCGTGACTTTTTGTTTCGGCAAGCTGAATTTATCACTATAGATGCTATAGTGATAAATTCAGCTTGCCGAAACAAAAAGTCGCGTCCAACTCTATATTTCCTAGCCTATAATACCTACATACTAAAGTATCCACACTGTATGAAGACTCTTATTTCGTGGCTGGAACATGTTCCGAGAAGATAAATAATGCTGTGTTATGATCATAATTATTTTCAGGATCTTCTTTTGAAAATTAGGCTACTCGTACACATCCTGTTAAATGTTATAAATAAAACACCTACTGAGATATTTCAGGTCTGTATAAAAATATCATTATAAATAATCATTAAAATCGAAATTTATTATAGGAACCGGTCACTTAATTATTACTCGTCCTACTTAAGATTCCTTCGAGGATGACTATTTTTGTCTATTATTTTTTGGGGGACTTTTTTTGTCGAGATTTACACCGAAATTACGAATAAATCTTCGGATATAAATTATTATGTCTCTTTCCTACAGCTTTTTGTAACAGCTCTGCTGAATGGAAAATGGGCGGTGCGACCAAGGACGGCGCTTACAGGCGGAGAAAGGGAGACAAAAGCTTTTAAAATCAGTTATGTTGACTAAACTATATAGCACAGGTTTTAATGTTTTTAAATGGTCATTTTGTGTCTTTAGTTCCTCGTAATTATATCAGACACTGATATTTTCAAAAAATATACAGGGAGACTGATAAAATAATTTAGTTAATACCAAATGACACCGAAAGCCCCCGATTTAAGCCATAAAAATGTATATATAAGTTATAAATGATAATATGTATGGTGTTTGTTTTAAATGCGAATTATTTTAAATATTATTCTGATAAACAAGATTAAACTAATTGTAAGATATTTCTCAACTATTGGTTCTTAATGTATAAAAACAAATAAGTTTCGCTTTTTATGTTCACCGTGTACATTTTATTTCAGGTGTTTTATTGTATTACATAAATTTGATGGTCTTTCCAATGAGAGTTTGTGAAAAAAAAGGAAAAGTTCGATGTATTGCCAAAGTTTGTCCACAACTGCAAGTTTCTTATAGTTACAGGAGCTTAGTTTTTATAAGTATTTACTTTCTTTCCATTCAAGACAGTCATCTGTTTCAAGGTTAACCAATGGGGTGACATCAACTGCCATAGGCGTGCCTATTTTTGTATTAAGTGTCTAAAATTGGGGATAGGTGATTGTAACTTTGTTTTTGCAGATATTGTGAACTATTTCAAACAAGATCGTCTCTACAACTAACTGCTATACAGGATGTCATCAAATTGCTTGACCAAATTTTAATTGGGGTGAAATTTGAATAAAAATTAAAAAACTACTGAAATGTTTTTATTCAAATTTGAGAAGCTTTAATTATTGAAATGCCTATAAATGCATAAGTATATGCTTCGTACAACTATTTTTATACAGAGCCGTACTTTCGGGGGTGAACGTACACTCATAAAAAATGTAAAATTGTATAGACTTTGCATATTTACAAAAAAATGTAAATGAATTAAACAATAAATTGCGTAGAATTATGCTATTAAGTACCTACCTACCTACTTTCTTTTCACAATGTATTGTTACTTTTTATGTTGTATTGCTACATTTAAAATTGTAATACTCCTAACCTTTTATTTATTTTTACTATATTTGATGTAATTATACGAATGTAAGTGCGAAATCTCAGTTACCTGTGAGGATTTTATCAGATTAATTACTTGATCACCCTGTGTGAAATTATCATGTACTTATAGAGAACTCTACTAGCAGTCTAGCAGACCACATGTTTTGAATTATTTGTGGCGTAGTAACGCAGCACAGCGTGTTAACTACCTATTGCTGCAAGTGAATAACTGACATTTTAAGTAAATCACAGAAAAACCGTAAAATGTAACTTTGTTTCTATAAGCTAATTCTTCAGATTAATTTTACATTACCTAGTGTAGATTCAACATAACCAATGATCTAGTGTGTAATTTTACATCAAATTTTTATATGTATAGAGTAATCAAGTGCTATTCAATTTTTTTTCAAACAATTTAAAATTGAATTCACCACTAAACAAAGTGTATTTTTGCAGTATGTTCCTAGAATGCTCTGTTTTTTTTTTCAATTAAATGACAAAATGTCTGTATAGTTATGTAAAAGTTTAAATCAAATTATTTTCAATATAGAAATAATAATTCATGAATAAAATAAATAATTATTTATATGACTTCCCGAAGCTTGAAATAAACTACATGTTTCCATTATTTTGGACACCCTGTACCTTAAAGACCTTTTTGAGCACATGATTATGCGAAATTTTTGTTAACTTAACCGCAAAATCCACCATTATAGCTAACTATTGCTAACCATTTTACTTACATCCTATATGAACATAAAATAGCATTATTACGTTGTCCAAAAATAATATAAATTGGAGAAATTATAACATCTTCTCTGGAAACTCAGGACAACAAATTTTCTTTGCATGCACAGATAATTTTTTATTTATTTATCCGATCAGTGAATCAATCGAGACCTAAAGTATTGTCTCTAAAACAAATGTTGAAACCACCATGATGACTGTTTAGTGGTTTATGACAATGATATTTTAATTATAATTTCAAAAAACTCCACACGTTATTAATATGGAATCATTTATTAAGGAAATTGTACACATTAGTAGACCTAATTTCAAATAATATGGCTTTTATCCAAAAATTATACAAATTTAATAAATTACAAAAAAGGTATTACAAAATTTTCATTTCTTAACTTCAAGAGTTAAATATATACTTACTATAAAAAAAAAATGTGGATTGCGACATTATTTTTACAATATCTCTCCTAATTTGAAAGTTCATTTGCAGAACATGCTGTATAGCGTCTAATTAATTTCAACACTGTATATTCTAATTATTAATCATTTATAAGTGATTTATTTTTGCACTCAATATTTAGTTAACTAAAAACCAAACTTGAGTAAAAAATGACTCAATAATAGTTAAATTTTAAATCATATTAGAGAATAAGTCAACTCTAAATTGATTTTATAAACTCAGAATAGAGTCAACAGTCGCTGAATTGATAGCAGTAACTCGGATGTGAATAAAACTCACTTATTTCCGATGCAATAGTTTCAGTTGTACTCATACTAATAGAGTGAAAATTTCACTCAATCTAGTGTGGACAGAAATTGATACAATATTAAGTAAAATTGAGTGAAATTTGAGTGAAATTTTTTTATAATTTATAACTCTTAAAAAAATTCATTATTTTCTGAACAGAACTCGTATGTACTCGTATGTTGGCAGTACCAATAACGTTCAATAGTTTAAAAAAATATTTCGTCGATTGACTGTACTGCATAACTGACATAAAAACGTAAAGGTACTCGATGTGCACTTTCATTTTTTTTGTTGAGATAATACACACTTTGCAAACATCTGTATATAAAATCTAATAATCATTTGGGATTTAGTAGCGGATTTGAGGAATCTTCATTTTGCTGAATTTTATGTTCTGGAAAACCTTCAGTCTGACAAATAAGAGTTTAGTATATTAACCATGAATAAATATTATTAACGCAAATTCAAATCACATGAATTTTACAAATGGTGAGATTTACGTAAATAAAAAATAAGGTCCTTTGAAATACAATATTTTTAATTTGAATCTATTTTATTGGCCATTAATTTACTATATAAAAATTAATTATAGAAGTTGTAAAATATTTGACTGCCAATATAATAGTTTTAATAATATTTATTGATTGATTAAAATTATTTTTATTTTTATTAGATTATTTAAAAATAATCGCTAATGTTTATTTATTCACTTAGCACGTAACACCTCTAATACGAAAACCTTAAAATAGAAAACAGAATTTTAGAAATATAGATTTGTAGCAATTAAAAAAACGAAATAGAGCGAATTTTTAAATAGCGAAAAAAAGTTTTTTCCTACGATTTTATACCATTAATTAAACTTAAATCAACGTTGTCAAAGAAATTGTACAAAAAGCTGAGAAGCACTCTATTACAATTTTAATAAAAAATTAAGGGAAAAATCCCCACACCGCGATCTGCGGTTAAAAAAAAATGGAGCGTATCGACTTGTTGCTCCCGTAGAGAACAATAACTCACCTGGCTTTATTACATTTTTAACGTATAATCGAACGTCCCATTTAGCTGTATAAGAACAGGTTAAAATCGTCCTTCAGTTTGATATTAGCATATAAAAAGCAGGAGGCTGCTGGTCTAAGTATCATTTGTGTTTGGTGCTCTGTAGACTGACACACAATAATGAAAATCTTCTTGGTAAGTCGAAAATTCCAGATTTCCAAAAACAAAAACTAAAACCCATTTGAAATATCATAGACCTGATAGAGTTGTTCCACAAAACGTTAAAATCTGAATAATTCTAAGGTCGCGAATTTTTTTATTTATTGGATTCATTTAAAATTTAAATGGAACCATGTTTTACTGTCATACAAGGGCACTATCAGGGTGAACTATAAGCATAATTAATTAATCTGCTTTACAAATTAATAAAATTTAACAATTCTATATCATCCGCATGTCATCTAATCCGTTCACAGAAATAAATAGTAAAAGTTGAAATAGTTTTGTAAAATGTCACCTGCTTATTTAAATGTATTTTTTATTTATACAAAATATGTTCAAAAGAACTACCTATCTGTCTAGTTTCACTAAATTTAAACATAATTTTGCCACAATGCAATAAAATTTATTTTAATTTTTACGAAAATTAGATTTAATATTACTTTTTTTAAATAAATCTGTTTCATGTAATTGTTTTGTTCTAATAAATAAATAATAATAATAAATAATAAAAGTACGGCTTAAAACGTTAATTGCACATGATATATTTGGCCATACAAAATTTAAATTTTGTTTTAAACAAATTAATTTTCCAATTTAGCAAATTATAAAATGGTTTACAATAATTCGTATACAATTTTTTTCGCCAGTAACTTTAGCATCCGTCAATATTAATTATATTAATTGATATTTTAATAATTATATTTGCATTTAATTGACAACAAAATCAATTTAATTTTAAACAATGCATGACGTATTGCTGCTATAAATCTGATATATGCCGGGTGTTTCGGAAAAGGTATTGCAAATTTAGAGACTAACAGAACATAAATTGGGCCCATGACCCATATTCCTATGGGCCATGGGCTTATTGTTTTTGAGTATACGCCGTCAAAGATTCTTTTTTAAAACAAGATTTAGCCAAAAGGTATCTTTTGCAGAAACGACCATATTGTACTGACATTTGAAGAGGTAAGTTTTCAAGTGATCTAAATGCGTTCATGTTGTTTGACTATTTACTATGATCTTCTCTAATTACATTTTATGACATTACTTTTTAAGGTTATGTTTTTTATGTTGTATGTAGTGTATTACAACGTAAAATTACATTTTTTACTTATTGAAATCGTTTAAAGCGCACCATTTTTAATAAAAATGCAAGTGGTTTTTCCAAAGCCACTCAATTTTTGTTCCTTAGTATACAGTGTATCCAGAAGTGAATAGGACATAGAAAAATAGTTTTCTCGAACGGAAATGAACGAATGTAGATCAAGTTACATCGGTATAATTTGCTTCTTTAAAAAATTATTATTTTTTATTCAATTTTTACTAATATTAACATAACAAATCTATACTAAGATAATTTAATTGAATCCTTTTATTTTCTTGAAAAGCCCAGAAAATTTGACTTATTGTTTAATATTCTATCAGCTGAATCAGCCTGGAAGTATGACACCTTTTTCCAAAACAGCCTATATTATTTTTAATTTCCTTTGTCATTTTTAATTTGGTTTAAATTCTTAAAACCATTGTATTCACAACATATAAAATTTTATGCACGATAATGAATTTAAACAAATACAGTGAAACAGTAGTAGTGCACCTGTATTTATTTAACTAATCTAAACTAAGCTGATAATCTCTTGGAAAAAAAAATATGGAATACCTTATGTATAACACTTTCTTGTAGATTTTTCAAGATTTTATTCATTTGTTAATAAAGGTCTATATAATCCTTCATTTTTTCTTTCAGTGTGTTGCCCTTTTGGCCATCACCGCAGTTGCGGCAGCCAAAGACGTCAAAGGAGACGCTAAAGACAGCAAAAACAAACGCAGTTTGGGTCATGAATACCTAGGCTACGGCTCCCTAGGCAGCTACGGTGGCCTCGGCTACGGATCCGCCTACGGATCTGGCTACGGATCAGCCTACGGATCTGGCTACGGATCTGGCTACGGATCCTCCTACGGATCTGGCTACGGATCTTCCGGCTACGGATCCTACGGTTACGGATCCGGTTTGGGACTGAGCGGATCAAGCTCCTACAGCGGCTTATCCGGTCTGGGAAGCGGCGCAATCGTCATCGGTTCCGGCTCTGGACTCTACGGAAGCGGTCTCCACAGCGGCAGCGGTCTCTACTCCACCGGATACAGCGGATTGGGCAGCGGCTACGGCTACGGTTACGGTAGCGGATACGGCGGAGCCCTGGGCTACTCCAACTTGGGAAGCTTGGGTTACTCTTCTGGTGTCGTCGGGGTCGCCCAAAACCAAGAAGTCGGCAGACATACCGTCCATACCATTACCAACAAGGTCGCAGTGCCAGTAGCCCAACCTTACCCAGTCCCAGTCACCAAAACCGTGCAAGTGCCACAACCCTACCCTGTTCCAGTACAAAGGCCAGTCCCATACCACGTTCGCGTCAACGTTCCAGTACCAGTAGAAAGGCCAGTTCCAGTAAACGTACCACATCCAGTACCAGTACCAGTCCGTGTCAATGTGCCATACCCAGTAGACAAGCCTTATCCAGTTACAGTCACCAGAACCGTCGCTGTCCCAGTCGAAAGACCAGTTCCTGTTAGAGTACCAGAACCAGTAGCTGTACCAGTAGCGCAACCTTATCCAGTACCAGTCCAGAGACCAGTCCCAGTCCAAGTACCTGAACCAATCCTTGTTAAAATCCCAGAAATCACCAGAGTCCACACCTCTTACACCACCCACACCGGTCCAGCCGTCGTTACTTCTGGATCAGCTTTGACTGGCTACGGCGGAGTCGTCACCACAGGATTGGGATCTTCAGGTGTGATCGCCAACGGATTCGGCTCTGGGTTAGTCTCCAGCACAGTCGCTCCAACTGTTTCTGGGATCACAGCGTCTCCCATCTCCTCAGGATACGTCGCCTCAGTCACTCCAGCACCTTTCAGTTCTGGAATTGTATCCACAGTTGCCCCAGCTGTCGGATCAGCTGTCATTTCCCAAGCCGTCCCAGTCAGCTCTGGGGTCATCAACTCCGTAACCCCCTCCCCAATTGTATCTGGAGTCGTTGGTAGTTACGACTCTGGATTAGTCTCCAGCGGTCTTGCCTCTAGCAGCCTTGGATCTGGTTACATCTCCAGTGGACTAGGATCTGGTTACATCTCCAGTGGACTAGGATCCGGTATCGTTTCCAGCGGACTGGGATCAGGCGTCGTCTCCAGCGGCTACGGAAGTGGACACAGCTCCAGCTACAGTAACTTCGGATCCGGCTACTCAAGCGGATCAAACTTCCTAGGATATAAGAAATGAACGCATCTGTGATGTCTGAAGATGTAAATAAACACGAACGCTTGAACATCTTGTTTTGTAATTAATGAAGAAAATTGCCAGCCTTTTTTAACATTAATAAATTATTTTCTATGTGAATCATTTTATTTATTTAATCAAATATGTAGATCATAATCAATTGCGAAAAACAGTAACACATCTATATTATTAAAAAAATATACAAGAAAATTTAAAGATGAAATGGATATACTAAGTGTTTCTATTATGTTAATATATTTAAATATTCTGCAATATTTGAAAAAAGGACACACATGATTAAATGAAAACAGAACATCTAAATTGGTAGAAGGTTTCCGAAAAAATGTTACTCTGTCACTTATTAAATTGTTACCTTTTCAAGAACTGTCACATTTTTGGTGATTTAAGATGCTGCATTCACTTAATAACCGTCAGTTTTGTTGTGCAAGGTTATTATAATATATAAAAGGATAAAAAATTAAAGTCAGTAGAAGCGACCTTAGAAATCTGGAGATCTTTGACATAAAAGTATTATATGGCCTAATTGCATCCTACATAGATCAATAGATGTATTAAGGAGACCATACACAATGCTGATTAATTATAATTTAAATTCAAATTAAATTATTAATTTGAATAAGTAAGCAGTTTCTTCAGAAACACAAATATGAATATAGGGAAAAACTTATAATTTAAGAGAAGTATTTTATATTAAAATTGTGATTATGTTCATATTACCGTACACAGCTTTCTATATGTTCAATAAGTCTACAAATTTAAAAAAAACGTAAGATAGATATATGAGGTAAAAATGTGCTTCTTTCCTCTTATTTCGAATGTATTTTTAGTTTTCTTATACCCTGAAGAAAACTTATATAACTGATACATAAAGAGATATTGTTTGTAACTTGCTTAATTTTTCTAAAGTGCTAGACAAAAAATTGCGCATTAAAACAAATACGAAACTAGTGTTTTATGATAAACCCCCATCATGTTCCAAAGTACATTTTGTGAAATAAGTTTTCTCGTGAAGACAATAATTTTATGATCTACAAATATTCTAATTTTATCTTCATAGAATTTTTCTCTACTGGACACTAAAGTAAATATAGAATGAGCTAATAATTTATATGATTTAAAGGAGAAAATATTAGACGTAGTTAATATTATCAATGATGTGGACACCAAGGCGTTACAAAAAAACTTGTTTGGAATAAATGCCTATGTCTAGACCTAGAGAAAGGTATTACAAAACATTTTTTTAAATATACCTACTTATTTTTTCTTAATAAAAAAGATTTGTTTAGTAAATTTAATAGCGGAAAATATACCCATGGACTGGTACCATGGCAATCTTGATTTTGTGTAGGATCAGTAAATAAACAAAAATATTGTGCAAGCTATCAAAGCAAATATATGACATGTACATATGTCATTTTCTAAGTTTTTCTCAGACAAAAAATATAAATGGGTCCTGTGTCCTCACAAAATTTTCTTTATCCACAATCACCTTATAATCGGACTTTTATCCCCACATATAAATCGTCTAAAGTGACACTTTATCCACCAGTGGAATAAAATAAAGTTAATTCACTAGTAGAATAATGAAAAAATAATAAACCTATAATAAATCAAATTTAATTTATTTACTTATTAACATGAACATTTACATTTATAGTAATAGACATTTTGTTTGTTGTTTTATCACATTTAACTTCCTTTCCGTTGATAACAACCCTTGTAGCATTGTTGCCATCAATTTCGGAACGCATAACATCTGCCGAAGTTAGTGAAGAATTTGCACAAGTTCCTGATGTCCCTTCTTGTAAGGAACAGCTATATTTCCTTGGATTTTCCTTGCAATGCTTTATTAGATATAGACTCTTCAACATAACTTTCTGCTACAGAGGAGTTCTTCCATCCACCATGCCGTTTGATGGTTGTAAGATCAGCACGTTTATTGGCCAATAAAGTTGTTGAAGTGCGCCTCATATTATGGCCAGTATATGCTTCTGGATTTGCGATATCAACTATTGAGGTTAGCAATGTGTTGATTTCAACAGGCTGAGAAGTACATGTTTGATTGATATATCATAAAAAGAATCTGTCTTCTGTTAGGCGAATTGGGCGCAGATAAATATATTTTCTGCATATTTCAACAGCATTCACACAAAATGCTTGTTCTATAATTTTCTTGAAATGCCCGCCTTGGTGTTAGATATTAAAACAATTAGGTAACCGCCAACGTTCTGTACATCACTAATTTTCAAATTTCTCAATTTGCAACTTCAACAGGCACAGGCAACAGAAACCCCCATTATTAGTGCAATCTAAAATAATTCAAAGTTCACTACAACCTAACAACATGTAAAAGGTAAAGAGATATTACGTTAATCATTAAATATTCTTTATCGGAAAGCCCGGTCAAAAATTCTTCAACATGTGCTCTTTCCAGTACTGCAGCTGCAGTATTTTTTTTATTAAATTCCAATAATTCTGACTCCACAAACATGATTGTGATGTGATTATGGATAAAACGCATTCGTGCTTTAATTGTCTTTTATGCACTTAAGAATATCAAACCCTCGAACTACGTTTAAAAATTCTTGCCTGGATAAAATGCTACTTAAAACACTTATACAATAAATAACTATTATACCATTATTGCGACTTAATGAGATTTCTTTTAACAATAAAATGCTGCGTAGGTTTGGTACAAACGCATTCTTCCATCAATTTTTGTGCTCCACAAAATCGTTTTCGGAATTTAGATTTCACTCTTATACATCCCAAATTTGAATAACATCGCACTTATCTAACAGTGCTGCGAGGCACCTGTAAAACTTTTTTGATGATGTTACGAAACAGAGATATGCAGATGATGGTTTACTTTTAATGGCATCTCATACATAAACAGTAGGCAAAAACATAGTAGGTCAAATTTTTATTTTTATTTTCATTAATTACTGAGGTTAAAAAAGTGAAAAATATGAACATTCGTGTGTGTAAGTTCGAATTAAAAATGGCTATTCAGATGAACATTCCACCGAACGTATAGTTGTAGCATTTTAAATTTATTGCCGCTCTCAATTCCAAGAGCAAATTGCATTTTTCAAAACTCAAATTACTCGAAACATACTGACGCTTTTTTATGACTAAAGGGTGCCATAAACCCACAGTGTGTTATCAGTCAAAACTGTGCAGAAAAAAATATTTACATGTGTGGATCAATAAGTCTTTTTCTCTGATTGTAAGTAATATATATGCAAGTTCTGATTGTTTTCGCGGTTGAAATATAAAGTAAATTTTACTGCTATAAGTCCACAGAGAAGTATGGTCAGTGTAATTCAGCCATATACACCACGATTTGTCTGCGGTTAAGTACGAGATCTAAACTAATCGTGTGTGATGTCCGTAAGAAAAAGTTGAACAGATAAGTCGTTACTGCTTTAAGCACCGAATTGATACGCAATCGAATCCAAGCAAATTAAAAAGCAGTACCTAACTTATTGGAATTATTCAGTGAATTATGACTTTAATAGCTTTTGCTTGTCATAGGTGTTAGAAAAATAATTTGCTGATCGATTTCTTTTATCAGGTATAATAACATAAAGTGATCTGGTGACTAATTATTTTTTAATAATCCATTATCACGAATTGGACAAATAATAGGCACTAATACTTCTATAATTACATTTTCGTGTTATTTTTATAAAAAAAATAAATATACATATGATGAAAATGGGATGCGTTGTATTATTAATGAATTCTTATTATAATAAGAGGTTTCTAAAAATTAAATAGTTCAGATCTAATAATAAATTATCAATCTATTATTCCATAAATTTTATCAATGACATTAATATAATTTTTTGTAACTTATTTCTTACATTTAGAGTATTAAAAACGTAGGTATATGGATCTAATGTTTAAACATTTTCTGGACAGAAATTTACATATAAATGAATATATTTTTAATCTACATTCATTGCAATTTATCAATATTACATTGTGGAATGCGCAATAGTGTTATTGCAAATGTGGAATTTTTTAATAAAACATTTTTGTTCGTGGGGAAAAATCTGAAACAATTAATTTGAGATATTTGATAGACTAGATTTAACTTCGAATCCGAGAATTGATAGTATTTTCAAAAATAAAAATAATCGCAGGTATGTAAAAAAACATTTCGACAAAAAATACACATTATTTTTTCTAAATTCTGTTTTTTTTAACAACGGAGTGGTACACATTTATATTAGGTTTTAACTGAAAATTTATTGTATAAATTATTTAGAATGACTATAAAGATATTACAGTAAAATATACTTTTATTTATTTTCAATTTGCTTTTTGAAATTGGCTATATACTTTTCTAAAAACAAATTTACATATTTTAAAAATTCAACAATCTGAAATACTTAAGTAAGTATATCGGGTTTACTCAATTGCACAGATGTACTTGAAATTTATATAGCGTATTACCCAGTGCTCCCTCTGTGCGTCATATTTTTTTAAATTGTTTTTGAATCTAGATTTTGAGATATTGTTGTTGAAAATTGTTCCTTTTAACATAGGTTTATATGGCGAAGATGGACGACGCGGCTCTTTTTTTGCACGTAACTGAGAAAAAAATGTAGAAATTGTGAAACAAAACTTTTCCATAGATAGTACACAGTATTATCTTACTTTTGATGTAAAACTAATGTAAGTTTTGAACATAGTACAGCTGTATTAATTAGGAACAGAAACCAATAATTGCATTTCTGTCTGACTTGAGGATTAATGTGGCAACGTCGCAATTATCTGACAGCAAGGAGGGAATACATTTGAAAGACTTGATAAAAACGAAATTGATTTCAAACATATACATTTTTCCTAAATCCCATGTACATTGTTATCAACAATAAATTATCCACAACAGATGATTTTTTGTAATGTTTTTAAAAAACTAGATTAATTAAAAAAGACTAGGAAGCTGTGATATATTTATTGGAATAAAAAATACAGTTGATAAATCCTTTTAATATATTTAATGGTTTATAAAAACATCGTAATCATTACCCAGCAATATTTAGGGTTACATAAAGTTTTCTTTACTTGATTAATATAATTAGTAATACTTGAGATAAAAGCATTTGTACGGAATAACAAAGGAACATAAATATTTCTCAGCAAACTTTATATCTAAAAAATTAGTTATAGTTGCAAAACTTTTGTAACATTACTAAAATAGAGATTAAAAACACGAACAGTGAGTAATAATGTAATTTCTATCACAGAACCTTCAAAATTGCATCCAACATTTTCTTTGACTTGGACGAGAGATGGGCGCGAGTGTCATTTCATTTCTTTAGAACTAAATTAACATAATTCTCGTTGTTTTACCAGTTCACATGATTTACGGATTTTAAATAAAGGATACAAATCTTCGCGAGGATAATACGATATATTTGCTATATATAATAATTATATTGTACATAGTTTACACACAATACATTTTTGAACGCGTACGCATCTTTACCCGAATTTGACGCGCAATATCTCCGATGTCCGAGGTCTGTAGGTTCGCAGTGTGTACAACTGCTAGTCAATTATTAGCGCTGTTGCCACATCTACATAGTCTTTATGCGTTCATTAAATATAATTTAAAACTACTTAAATATGATATTTTTATGTTGTTAATTAGTCAATATGTATGCTATGTGCATATGAGTAGATTTCTTTGCTATATAGATAATATTTATCGCAAATAATTTCAATAGAATTTAATTTTTTCAAGTTGGCAGGGGGTTTTAGTCCCATAAGAAAAGCATAGGACCCCCCCTGCGAGCCTCACTTCCCTCGGACCCCGATATACCTCCTTTATATAATAATAAGTGATATTTTTCTGTCAGTAGGCTTATGAAGTTTTGACTAATCTTCTTGGTACGATGATATACAGGATGTCAAAAACGGATCCGTTTTAAGGTCATACCAAGGTTAACCTGAAAATATTGAATGAATTGAACATCATAATTATTAGCCTAGCAATGCTTTAAATTTAAAAATTGTTATCAAAGTCTATTAGGACGATCTTTTGGTTGAATTTGACCTTCAAATGACCTGCAAGGACAATTTGGAAAAAAATTTAATTTGAAATTTGGCGCTGTATAGTTTGCTTCATCCTTAGTTCAACCTTGCCACTTTTAGTGAGGGTCAAATCCAAGGTCACGATCTAACTCATCATTCAAAATACTACAAATGTTTGTTTGAAACATTTTTGTCGTGATTTTCAGAGTTTAACCTCTAAATGACCTTCAAAGAACAAATTATATAGGAACATATTTCTACTCTCACATATGGACGGATTTGCCGGCATAAAAAAGGGTTGTTCCCCTATCAAATTGACCTTGGTTTGACCTTTAAACTTAATATCGAGGTCAAATCTAAGATCATCAACATGGTTTCTTGATATTATTATAACTTTTATCTGAAATTTTTTTGACTCAATACTGAAAAGTTATCGAGGGGATTCGGGTGTTTCTGGAACACCCTGTATTTAGTGTAACCCATTTCAAATGGAAACGCACACTTGTAAAAAAAATATTAACTGACCGGTTTAATTTGGATTTATTTTTAAAGATGGAACTAAAAAAAGTCTATTAAATTACATAGGATCTGAATTTTGAATTTAGTTCAACTTTTAATTTTTTTTCGATGTAAAATTTAACAAAAATTGGTTGGGGATTTTTTTATTTTTAAATCTTACTCAAGTTTATTGCTTACGGTAAAATTTATTTTAAATGTTTCGCCTATTATTTCCGTAAACATAGAAAACAGTCTTTGAAATCATAAAAAAATGTTCAGTAATGTGTTTTTTTTAAATGCGCAGTTGCAAATTAAACACTAAAAAATAAATAAAAATTGTCTTTTTAATAGAGTGTTAGATTACATTGTATAAACATGCTTCTTACATTCATACATATTTTTTTGACATGGTTGAAAAAAATAACATTATTATTATTCTATTTCCGAAATGTAGATACAGTTTCAAGTCGCAGATTAATCACGTTCACATATAAGAGGCGTAAGCAAGTGAATTATAAATCTAAATTTTGCAAGTCGGCTGCATCTCCTACCACCAGAAGAGAGAAAGAACGAAGCGTTAATAATAAATTATAATAAATTAGACCGAATCTCTTCGTAAGAGCGTCCTTCGTCCCTAAATTTCTGCATATAAAAAGCTTGACTTTGATGCCTTAGTTATCATTAAAATCGGTTAGTTCAGTGGATCAACACACACACAGAAAATGAAGGCTTTCTTGGTAAGTGTGTCTGTTACATCAGATCTACATCGAAATTAATTAGATTATATAAGACGCACTACGAGATGGGAGACCAAAATCAGATGGTCTTTTCCATTCATAGACAACAGATCGCGAGATTAACATCGCTGGAATTGAATTATTTTAATGGCTACCGTTAATTTTTTTATTTAAATGAAATGTTTTGATAGAAAAAATTGGTCATACTAATAAATTTTTAGGATACAAGGATGATGTTAAAAGTAAGTGTACTTTCATCCTCATAGGTTCTTGTTTTATTTTTTGAAATCCATTCATTTTTTGCAAAAATTATTTAAAAAATTAGTTCAATCTTTCTTTCGATGTTCATGTACACTAGAAAATAGCAAATTTGCTAAACAACTCTGGTTTACATTTTAACAGATTCAAAAAAATCTCCTTTCTTCATTTTCATGTAAAAAAATATATTAACTCTAATTTCAGTGCTTCGCTTTATTGATGATCGCTGTCAGCGCCAAGGACACGACTAAGGAAGAAAAATCAAAACGTAGCCTACCCGGAGAAGCTATCATCGGAACAGGATCTCTGGGTTTAAGCGGACTCAACTCTTACTCATACGGAGCTGGTTTATCTGGAGCGGGAGTAATTGGCGCTGCTGACCTTGGTAGCACTGCGGTCATTGGTTCCGGATTGGGCAGCTCCGCCGTGATTGGCTCAGCTTTGGGCAGCTCTGCTATCATTGGTTCCGGCTTAGCCAGCCCCGCAGTCGTCGTCGGTTCCGGCTCTGGACTCTACGGAAGCGGCCTCTACAGCGGCAGCGGTCTCTACTCCACCGGATACAGCGGATTGGGCAGCGGCTACGGCTACGGTTACGGTAGCGGATACGGCGGAGGCCTGGGCTACTCCAACTTGGGAAGCTTGGGTTACTCTTCAGGTGTCGTCGGGGTCACCCAAAGCCAAGAAGTCGGCAGACACACTGTCCACACCGTTGCCAACAGGGTAGCAGTTCCAGTACCCCAACCCTACCCAGTCCCAGTTACCAAGACCGTGCAGGTGCCACAACCCTACGCCGTCCCTGTTTCCAGGCCAGTACCAGTACCAGTTCAAGTACGCGTTAATGTCCCAGTAGAAAGGCCTGTTCCAGTAAACGTACCACACCCAGTACCAGTACCAGTCCGTGTCAATGTGCCATACCCAGTTGACAAACCTTACCCAGTCCAAGTTGTCAGAACCGTCCAAGTTCCAGTAGAAAGACCAGTACCAGTCAGAGTACCACAACCAGTAGCTGTGCCAGTTGCCCAACCTTATCCAGTACCAGTCCAAAGACCAGTACCTGTTCAAGTTCCTGAACCAGTGGTCGTGAAAGTCCCAGAGCTCATCAACGTGCACAAGACCATCACTACCGGCCCTGCTGTAGTAGCCTCTGCCCCAGCTGTTGTAAACGGTGGTATCTCCTCCGGAATCGTCTCTGGTGGCATCATCTCCGGCGGAATCGGATCCGGAATTATCGCCAACTCCCTTGGCTCCGGCATTCTGTCCTACCCTGGTGCTGGTATCGTAAGTGGTGATATCCCCATCAACGCTGGCGTCGTATCCAGCGGACTCGACTCTGGTATTCTGTCCAGCGGTCTCAGTTCTGGTATCGTATCTAGTGGACTGAGCTCTGGTATTGTGTCCAGCGGTCTTAGTTCTGGTATCGTATCTAGTGGACTCAGCTCTGGCATTCTGTCCAGCGGCCTTAACTCCGGTGTGATCTCCCATGGAGGACTTGTCCCAAGCGTTTACGGATCTGGCCTCATCTCCAGCGACTGGGTCGGCAAATCCATTTACAAGAGAAGCAACGACAAAGTAAACAAAGCTCAGAAGTAGAGATAAAAAATATTATGAACTTGAACGAGGTTTATATTGTTTGATTATTTTAATAAATTATTAAAATTATGGATTGGTAGTTCTTATCTTGATTTACACAAATTTGCTATTACCTTACACATAAGAATAAATTATTGACTGTTTTGGAAGAAATCGCAAGTGTTTTAACCAGGGTGTGATTTATTACCTCAAAGAAAAATTAAAAATACACAAAATAAAGCTTTTAGGTAATTCAAATTTATTGATAATATATGCTAAACATATCTTTTTCTAAGGATTTTAATGATTTCAAAAATAATAATTTGGGTACTTAAATTTTTAAAATCGTAATTAAGAATAAAAATTGATTAATACCATATTATATTGAAGAGACAGCCAAGAAAGATGTAACGAAATATAATAGTAATATAAATAGAAAGTAATATTAGGTATATTGTATAGTTATATAATTATAATAAATTATAAAATAAAAATTATCGTAATTGAACAAACAAGTATAAATATTATAAGAATTGAAAAAATATTTGATGAATCTTAATCATTTAAAAAATAAAAATATGATAATCATAGGCTTTCTTTATTCTAAAAATATTGCAATCACCTGTTAAAAACCACAATACACAAAGCGCTGATGGAGGTTTTGACGATCTAAATTTTGTGTTAGAAAATGCTAAAATTTATTCAAATCTCGTTTAAAAGTAACACAAAAATTAAACGAATGTTACGAATTACTTAGCCATAGACGATATGCTCTACAAAAATTCTTCAAAGTTGTTTCCATGTGCTAATAAACATGCATCCAATGGACGGTCAAAATTAGTCCGCTTACGTGCAAAACGATAAGTCTTATTTAAATTGTACTGACATTCTCCGCACATTAATACCATATCTGCTAGTTCCTGATCAGAAAACACTTTATACGCCGGCTAAGTAATACTGAAACACACAACGCACGTGCACAAGATGCACAGGATCAGTTTACATTTATAGTTAATTTTCGTAATTAATTTTCTCGAAAACAGAAGCATTTAGACCATCACTTGCTTAATAAAAGTGGCTCATTTTCCACCTGCGACCTCTGCAACAGGTCGCATCCAGATTCAGAGACTAACTATTGGATCAACACAGTAAATGCGTCCATATTTGATACACCTGTTTTATTGAAAATTGTGGCCAAGGGGTGTGTACACACTTCTCATTCTTCTTCTTTAAGCCTAGCCAATTCTGATTCTATTATAATTATTTTGTAATAAGTATATCACAAAATATTTGAATTAATTAAGAAGTTTAATTAAATGTAAATGAAAATTATAAAATGACCAGCACAAAAAAACAGTTACATAACAGGTTGTAACAGGTGCAAATTCAAGTTCAAGCCGTGATCCGAGATTACTTTTGTAATATTTTTAAAATAATAAAATTCAAAAATATTCAAAATACGCCAGAGACACTTTCCATGGATTATGAAAACATATCTAACCTACCAGGCCGGTCTACTTTCCTGTAAGAGCGGTTTTACGTAATGGAAATTATGAAGTTGAGAAAATATACATATTTATGTTATTTTATCAATGACGTAAGGAATGCAATAGAACATTAGTCCGTTGACAAGAATTTGGATCAGTATTACCTACATAACTTTTGGTAATATGCTTATGGACCAACCTTTTGAAAAGTATTTTTCTTTGAAGAATTGCAATTCTATTTCCAGAAAGAAACAATTTTAAGAGTCTTTTATGAAACAGATATACAGAGGGTTGTAGCAATGCACCCACCAAATTTTTATAAATAAATATTCGACCTATTCTTACTCACAAGGAAAGCGATAGAAGAAAAGAATAATTAACAGTTGACCTAAGTTTTCCGCGGTTAATCGTCTCCGACGATCGGTAAATACCCGTTTCAAGAACGAAAATGACATTTACCTAGGTCACAAACGCATATCTAAAATAGTCGAAGTTTTTAATAGACCTATTTTTACTAATGGTGTCGAGGCACCAACAACTTCATATTTTAGTAATCCCACAATCATCGTCATGGTACAATAACATGTACATGTCTGTCTCTGATCCGAAGCTTCGCATCGATCAATTTATTCGATACGTATCTAGCGGCAACCTATTCAGTCCTATTCTGTAAATTGCATCGAAATGCTCAGATCGAGTCGAAATGTTCGCAACTCGTAAAGTTCAATATCTATCGCGTCGATCGTTTCCTAAAATTGGTATTCTGTAACTCAAATCGTAGAAGTTACAAATCGTAGAGAAAGACTTCGATTCGATGCCGGTTTAGCGTAATGGCAACAATGCATTGCTCTGCGATTATAGACTTTAATAACCAAGTGACAGTTAGAGAGGTTAGAAATTTCAAAATATGAAATATGCAAATTAGCTGTAAAAATAAGATAAATGTGCCTTTTACAAGATTTAACGCAGGTATAAAAAGTGGAATTTACGCAAAGTTGACTTGCAGATGTGTTTTAATAGGAAATCCCATATTCGGTAAATTTAATTGTACCTACCTACTAGATTGTATAGTTTAGTTTAAAAATACATTAATTTTGCTGTAATCTTTCGAGAAGGTCAGTAATGAAAAATATTAATGATGTCAGTTCCGACTCCAATAAATAAAAAAACTTCTACAGAGCAGCTGAACTACATGGTACATTTCATTACGCTGCACAAAATTTTACTTCATGGTAAAACTAAGCCGTTTGATAGAGAATATTATAAACCATGCAGAAATTAGATAACTAAATAAAAAATATACCTATACACGTACGTATAGACGTACAAATATTTTATAATTATGTGATTTAAAACACGAAAAGGAAAAAAGATTTGTTGTGTTGTGGGGTTATGCTTAACTCAAACTGACACATCTAACACAACAACGCATGCGTGACCCGATCTCGATATCTAAAGCTACCACTTCGAAGAGTTTGACCGATCGACGTCGATTTCTACCAACAACTTTTATAGTAGACGTCGAAACAAGTTATAGAATACCGATGTTGCCCAATTCCGATTTGATGGGTTGATCTCGATTCAATTTTATATATTTCTATTCGATTAGGACTTACAGAATATGGCTTAATGCCAGCATTGTCGGCCTGGCGATGGCGTTCCGGTGAATAATCCAGGTCTTTTGCTGAAGGACGTTAGCCGTGCATTTCACTGATGCGTGTTTAAGTGAGTTTGATTATTTGCTGGCTCGAGTGTATGGCACATGCTTTTTTGGCAGTCAGTAGTATTGTATATCGTGAGCATAGAGCGGTACACCGCTTGACCACAAATTTGGTTTATTTCTGCTACTACAACGCGGTAGCATAATATAAATTACTACCGTTTATTTATTTGATAGTCGCCACAAAGTTTCCGATGTCTAGTTATTCCTGTCATTTATCTGTTACGTTCCTTAAAGTAAGAGAATCAAACTAGTTATATTTTTTGGAATCAACGAAACGTATGAATCACATTTAAAATTATCTACAAGGCGATAGCGTTTCGAAAGCACAACGCCTCTACTTATTCCGATTCTGATTTTTTAAATATTATATATTTTCTAGTTTATTCCTTAAATTTTTTACACATTATGTCACAACAAAAAGCAAGTATTTTAATCCAGGGTGTGATTTATTACCTTAAAGGAAAGTTAAAAACACATAAAATAAAATTTTGAAGTAATTCAAATTTATTGATTTTATATGCTAAACACACTTTTTTATAACGATTGTAAAAAATAATAATTTACTTATGATTTTTAAAATCATAGTTAAAAATAAAAATTGATCGATACCATTGAAGTGGATCCCAGGGAAAATATAAAGTTTATAATACGAGAAAGAATAAGTAAAATTATATTACAATAATTATTATTATATAATATTTTCTTCTCTGATTTATTCCTTATATTTTTTGATTTTNAAAGATACATAATTAAATAGGAAGAAAAATATGACATTTTTCGATTTTTTTTTTTAACATACTGTGCCGCCAAAAGTTAAGCCCACGTTTTTTTTATGCGCATAGAAAAATTTTCATTTCTAGTGATATTTTAAAGCCAAAAAGCCAAAAATCTCCGTGGATATACGATTAGGGGTTAACGCCAGCCCTGTCTGCCTGGCGATGGCGTTCCGGTGAATAATCCAGGTTTTCTGCTGAGAGACGTTAGCCGTGCATTTCACTGTGCGTGTTTAAGTGAGTTTGATTATTTGCTTGCTCGAGTGTATGGCACATGCTTTTTTGGCAGTCAGTAGTATTGTATATCGTGAGCATAGAGCGGTACACCGCTTGACCACAGATTTGGTTTATTTCTGCTACTACAACGCGGTAGCATAATATAAATTACTACCGTTTATTTATTTGATAGTCGCCACAAAGTTTCCGATGTCTAGTTATTCCTGTCATTTATCTGTTACGTTCCTTAAAGTAAGAGAATCAAACTAGTTATATTTTTTGGAATCAACGAAACGTATGAATCACATTTAAAATTATCTACAAGGCGATAGCGTTTCGAAAGCACAACGCCTCTACTTATTCCGATTCTGATTTTTTAAATATTATATATTCTCTAGTTTATTCCTTAAATTTTTTACACATTATGTCACAACAAAAAGCAAGTATTTTAATCCAGGGTGTGATTTATTACCTTAAAGGAAAGTTAAAAACACATAAAATAAAATTTTGAAGTAATTCAAATTTATTGATTTTATATGCTAAACACACTTTTTTATAACGATTGCAAAAAATAATAATTTGCTTATGATTTTTAAAATCATAGTTAAAAATAAAAATTGATCGATACCATTGAAGTGGAACCCAGGGAAAATATAAAGTTTATAATACGAGAAAAAATAAGTAAAATTATATTACAATAATTATTATTATATAATATTTTCTTCTCTGATTTATTCCTTATATTTTTTGATTTTTTAAAGCATTGTAAATTTTTTTTATGTGACATGGTATGTGCGTTCATCAGATCTGTTTTCTTATTTTTGATCAGATTACCTGTACAACTGTCGTCGTAATATTGCAATATCCTATGTTATTCGACAATATTTCACTTTGCTTCAGAGTGTACTGTAAACGACAACGGCTTCAGCTTGAAACGTCACAAGCTGTAGAAAAAATTAGAAAAAATGTATCTCTACAAAAAATTATTTCGGGAATGCACAATGTGAGTTGTTATTTTTTGCTTTCCAAATATCACACATTGTGAATATAAGCATGTTACATAATCTTGCAAATGCAAATGAGAGTATGTAACGATCGCTTTGCGAAAAAAACTTTGAACTTAGAAATGACAAGCTCGTTATCTTTTAATGAAGATTTTAATATCAACTGTTATGAAATTGCGATTATGATTTCGTAAAGATAAGGTAATGTGGTTAACGATAGTTGTTGGCCTAATATGGAAATATATTGCAGATCTAGATGAATTATTGTTTACTTATCCGACAGATACTTTTGCCAATTATTTTTTATATAGCGGCTTTCTCTATACAGGGATGGCCATTCATATCTTTTGAATGAGTTAATTTTTTTTTAAACGCCGAAACACGTTAACTGATTTTGATTTTTTCCCCATCTTTCGGTTATATAATAATTAATTTTTCTTCAACCCCCTAACCCCCAGCTACCCCTACTTTTTTTTCAAATGGAAACATAAGGCATGAGGGGGCTCGTTGAAAAGCTTATAGAAAACCGAATCCAGCCATACCAAATAAACAAGTTTTATTTTTTCAATAACAAGTTTTTTTTCATTTAGAAATTGAAACAACTAGATAATTTACAAAAATAAACTCAATGTCGCAAATGCTGAAAATGTCCTCCATTCACTATTTGGCATTCTCCAAGACGATAGTAAAAGCTGTCCACAGCATTCTGAATGACTTCAGCTGGTAAATTATGCATCTCCGCCCTAATCTTGTTCTTTAAATTCTCAATATTATCCGGTCTGTCCTGGTAGACTCTTTCTTTCAAATATCCCCAAAGAAAATAATCCAGGGGTGTTAAGTCGGGGGATCTTGGCGGCCATTCAACTGTACCCCGTCTACCAATCCAGCGATTTGGAAACATTTCATCTAAGTATCTTCGAACATCAATACCAAAATGTGGGGGAGCGCCATCTTGTTGGAACCAAATTCTTTCATTCGGTATATCTGGATCAATTTCATGAGGGAAAATCACAGCTAGAGCAGGTATCAGGTCAAATGTTAGGAAATCCAGGTAGCGTGCGGCAGTAAGATTTTCTTCAAAAAAGAATGGGCCCAAGATTCTGTTGTTGATGATACCTGCCCATACATTAACTTTTTGTGGATGCTGCGTATGCGATTCGCATGTCCAGTGTGGATTTTCCTGGGACCAAAAGCGATAGTTGTGCCTGTTAACCACTCCATTTAAATAAAACGTAGCTTCATCCGAAAAAAGTACGTCTCGTTGAAAACCATTATTGTCGTCACACCGTCTCATCATTTCCTCACAAAATTGTAATCGCCTATCATAATCGTCTTCCAAAAGCTCTTGGACAAGACATACCTTATAGGGGTGGTATTTCTCTTGTTTCAGAAACATTCGAATTGCAGTTCGAGAAGCATCGTGATTGCGGGCCAATGAAACAGTTGAAGTATGAGGATTTTCAACAAGTTCTAATGCAATGTCTAATTTCTTTTCTTCATTCAAAGCACGTGCCCGTCCAGTTTTGGGCAAAGTCTGTACTGTACCGTGTTCCTCAAATTTGTGAAATATTTTACTAACTGTCCCTTGCGAGATTTGGTTTTCGGGATATTTCGCATTAAATAAATCGCGCACTTCAGCCTGACTTCTTATTTTGTCTCCACATCCAAGCAATATCAAGATTTCGATGCGTTGCCTTTCCGACAATACCATTGCAATTCAGTAAATAACTTGATTTTGACACAATAGTAACGTTTCGAACTCCAATTTACAACTAAAGCGAAAAATTAACCAGAAAGCCTGGCAAGTAAGTGGTGCCAAAAAAACGCAACATAAAAAATATATCTTTTTTGCGTTAGCAGTGATAGGTACAGTTTCAAATTCTTTATTTTATTCTGTGCAAATTCATGGAGGATAACACTGAAGATAATTAAATTTTATTTCACTTGTTAAGTAGGTGTTTTATACAACCCTAAAAACCTTGCTATTGAAAAAATAAAACTTGTTTATTTGGTATGGCTGGATTCGGTTTTCTATAAGCTTTTCAACGAGCCCCCTCATGCCTTATGTTTCCATTTGAAAAAAAAAAGTAGGGGTAGCTGGGAGTTAGGGGTTGAAGTTTTCTTCATTAATTATTATATAACCGATTAATCATTAATTAATATATAACCGAAAGATGGGAAAAAATCAAAATCAGTTAACGTGTTTCGGCGTTTTAGAAAAATTAACTCATTCAAAAGATATGAATTTTATTCCGTACTTCTGGCCATCGCTGTATATACTGCGAACTGTCACATTTAAAGAGGATTTATATTTTTCTCTATAGTTTTCATTTAAAATACTTGGATGTTGACGAAAGTGAAGAAAATAATAACGCCCATTTCTAATGGATTATATCTGGTTTATCCAACACACTTGTTTATTGCTTTGCAACCATGAATTTACATAAAAAATACCATTTGAGCCAGCGAAGTAAGGGACCATCCTATAAATTATTACAAAATTTTGAATAATTTTCGTTATAGCCTACTCGCATCATATCTGTCACGTCTTGAATGAAATCCCTTTCATTTTTCATATAATTAATGCATTTTTATGTCACGCATTATCTAACACGACCATAAAATCTTTTCGGATCAGCCGTGCATCTTTTGAAATCTCCCAGAAGCTAATTCATTATAATAAATTAGACTGAATTAAATTAAGCGTTACTTCGCAACATTGTCCTTCAGTCCCTATTTTTCTGCATATAAAAGCCAATATTTTCATTTGAGTTTATCATTCCTAAACCGTTAGTGCGCTAGAACACACGACATGAAGGCATTTGTGGTAAGTTCGCTGGTTCCACCGCTATTTCACACCCCACATCCCAATATATTCAAAATAACGACGATTTTATGCAGCGGAATCCAATTAGGTGATGTAATATGTAAACACTGATGACATTTTTTACATTTCCATCATTTCTCTGCTTTAGAAAGTGTCTGGCACTTGGAGCATTGCAAAATCGGGGTGGAATATTCCTAAGAGTATTAAATTTACCATAACTTTGTTTACTACGATTACAAATTGTCTACTTTCAACTTTTTATTTTTACTACGAACGTATTTGTAAAGAATTTAATTTAAATTATAAATCTTTCTAATAAATACCTCGACTATTATTAATTAAAATCGAGGATTCAAATAGACGGCTTTAGTGAGAGATTATTGTTATAAATATTTTACTGTATACCACGTAAATTTTATTCTCTTACAGTGTGTCGCGTTACTTGCCCTTTGCGTCCTTGGTTCTGCCAAGGATGTCCCAAAGAAGACTGACAAACAGACCAAACGTAGCGTTGTAGGTGAAAGCACATTAGGACTAGGTTCCGCCTCTCTGGGACTCAGCTCTGGATCACTAGCTCTTAGCTCCGGATCACTTGGGCTTAGCTCTGGAGTAGGACTGGGCTCTGCTGTGTTAGGATCAGGTCTAGGATATGGATACGGACACGGTTTAGGATACAGCTCCGGTGTAGCCCTAGGTTCCGGATCCCTGTACTCCTCCGGATTGGGATTGGGATCCTTGGGTTACGGATATGGATCAGCTTTGGGATACGGAGCCGGTCTAGGTTCTGGAATCGCCGTAGGAGGCGTTTCCCATGGACTCGTACAAGACACCCACGAAGTCCGTCACGTATCTCAACAGGTACCAGTGCCAGTGCCCCAGCCCTACCCAGTGACCGTCACGAAAACAGTACCAGTACCCCAACCCTACCACGTCGACGTGCCCAAGCCGTATCACGTTCCTGTACCTGTAAAAGTACCCGTTGACGTACCAAAACCCTACACTGTTCCCGTGCCACACCCAGTGCCAGTCAGGGTTAATGTCCCAACTCCTGTAGTAGTACCAAGGCCCTACCAAGTCGAGGTTATCAAGAAGATTCCAGTAGACGTACCAAGAACCTACACTGTGAGAGTACCCACGCCTGTTCAAGTACCAGTACCACAACCCGTCCCTGTAGAAGTACCCACGCCTGTAGCTGTTAAGGTGCCACAACCAGTCGTCGTTAAGCACCCAATTGTCCAGGCCACACATTCTGTGGCAGCTCCTATCCATTCATACTCTGCCCCTATTATTGGTTCTGCCTACGCAGCGCCAGCAATCGCTTTGGGTAGCGGCGTTTCAACTCTAGGAAGCGGTACTCTGGCCGTTGGTGGTGTATCAGGCTACAGCAGCGGTCTTGGTCTCTCAGGCTACGGCAGCAGCCACTTAGGCTATGGCAGCGGTCTCTCAGGTTATAGCAGCGGCCTCTCGGGCCTCAGCAGCGGTCTCGGCCTCTCGGGCTACAGCAGCGGTCTCGGTCTCTCAGGCTACGGCAGCGGTCTCTCAGGCTATGGCAGCGGTCTCTCAGGCTATGCCAGCGATCTCTCAGGTTATAGCAGCGGCCTCTCGGGCTACAGCAGCGGAATCTCAGGCTACACCAAAAGTACTCCAGCGTGGTAAATGGTAAACCATAGCACCACGTCTAACTGTACAAAGTTGTTAAATAAAGGATATATATTTATGTCTCTGACATCTGTTGTATTATTTTGTCGAGCGGAAAACCGAAATACCAAAGTTACAATATAAAGAATTACTTAAAAAAATTGGAAAGATATAAAATCAAGTCAATTATAAGAATAGTGACGTCAAAAAATGTTCCAGGGGAAGTATTGGAAGCGGCACAAATTGCTGTTTCACAATTAATCTCCAAAAAATTGTCGAGACAGTACGAGATTGCCTACAATGAATACAAGGTGGTGTAGCTGGAGGAAAATTTAAAAAGTGTTCGAAGAGGTATTACTCGCATATTTCGAACATAAAATTAATAAAATTAAACGTTCGACGTTATGGTCAATATATTCCGTGTTAAAAAGTACACTGTAAAAAAAAATTTTCAATATGAGAAAATTTCCAAAACTAATACTATATTAGAAAAGCAAATTAGTTGGATACCATCCGAAAAAGTCCAGAATTCTTGAGATTTTCACAAGTAACATCTGATAATAGACTTCTGCTAGAAAAAGTAATTCAAATTAATATACAACTGCAGGTAGGTGACAAAAAAAACTAACTTTGTCCACTGAAAATTTAATGAAAATGTCGACTTTTGATGGCAGTTTTCGAAAAATTATATTTTCTTGCAATTTTAAATTAACACAACTGTAAGTTGTCTACTGAGATATCAAAAAATTTGTATTTTTTTATCTCTAGATGTATTAAAATATCTTTGATCTACGTCTTTGCTTTTCCTGAACGTGTAGCAGAAAATTAGTTTTCCACACGCAGCGTCTCGAGCAGCTCCGGTAATTCTAATCTGCAAAACAGTCTAGGTCAGATGGAATTCGCAAGATTGATTACAGAGGGTCTCGGGGCACTAGGGCTCCTTCTTACACGGACTCGATAGTCCCAACTTCTCCCATTAGCTTTATTATTCCGGCAAAATAACGAAGATGGTACCCTAGAGCCGCATTTCCTCCTTCTGGACTTTCCTATTATATCTAAAATAAAAATTAAGCGGAAAAGAAATTAAACTATTTTGAATAAACCATTTTGTCATATTTTGATTCTGATACAGCAAAAAAATAAGTAATGTTTCAGTTAAAGTTGGTAAATTAACCAAAAAATACTTTTATTTCATGTTTTTTTACTCAATTCAGCAAAATTATCTGAAATATCATAAAATAACGGACGGAAGGAAAATTGTACATTGTATTGAAAATTTCCAGTGTTATATTTTCAATTACAAATAATATAAACTTATATACAACACATATCTCTAAACGGTTTTTGTTTACAAGAATTTTAAATATAAAAAATAAATTTCAACATTTACACGTGTTTATAACTAAAATAAATGAGGTTCTTGCAAACAAAAGACATTCAAGCTCCCCATCTTCGCCTTCATAATAAATGTGTACAGCTTTTTTGAAAACAAAAAGAATATCGCACTACCCAATTTAAATTATTTATTTTTAAGTAAATTCGAATCCGTCGTCGCTTCAAGGTAACACGGGAGATAAATCATTCAAATTAAGAGAGAAATAAAATATCGCTTTACAAACAACATCGTCAATTATACTAAAAGCTGTAAATGGTTTAAATGGTCTGTCATTAGTTCACATAACCATGATTATATTAATTCTAATTTCATAACACGAAAATCATTTTATTTTTGTGAAAATATTTTGACTTAAACAAGAAGAACCTTCGCAACAGTTGAATAAACATAATTTAAAAAATAGAAAACTGTTTTATATTAATATTATTCACGAACAGGAATTAGTTCGGTGAAGATTATTTATGTCCACTCTCTCAGGAAATGAAAATATACCTGTGTGTTATACAACCAAACTTTTTCGTATCTAACGCACCTTTTCCTCATTATCTTATTATAATCTATAAAAGAGAGATCGCTAGCTAAAAGTCTACCATTCAGAGTACAGTTTTTCATGTAGACGCAAGCAATATGGATGTTTTTGTGGTAAGTAGTACAATTATCTAAATTCAAAACTATGTCAAAAACTAAATCTAAACTGAAATTACTACAAGAAAACTACCACATTTGTATACACATTAAGACAAATGTTTTATCTTCTCTTATAAAATTTAACATAATTTCTAATACATTGTTTTCTTTTTAGTACCTTCTTCTGCTTCCACTTATAGCCTGTTCAGCGGAAAAACTGGAAAATATCGATTTGCTAAGCAAAAGAGGCCTGGATCACAGAAGCAACCTGGCTTTGCTCAACAGCTTAAATTTTGGAAACAAACCAGAACCTAGCATCAGTCCAATACCATCACCAACGCCCAATATAATAAACGTTGGCAACCCCAACGATGGAACCATCCCAGTGACGATCAACACGGAAAACTTAGCTCTTGGGAACCCCAACCCCCTATCGAACGGTTTACAGTTTGCGTATGCTCCATCTTTCCCACAAAACGCCGCACCATTAGATAACAACATCATTTACTTCATGGGAGATAGAGCTCAAGCCTCACCTTTATCATTGACCAACGTTATAAACCCAGGATTTTCCCTGATTTCTGCTACTCCCAATCTCCAAAATGGAGCCGTGAACACTATCCAAGACAACAGAAACGTTTTTCAAGGCTACGTTCCTCAAAACGTAGTAGAAGTACCTCAAGCTTATCCAGTGCAACTTATAAGAGAAGTAAAAGTACCCCAGCCCTACCCTGTGCATATCACCAGGACTGTGCAGGTCCCAGTGCAAGTCAGAGTACCTGTAGAAGTACCAAAGCCTTACGCGGTGAAAGTACCGCACCCAGTACCAGTTCCAGTACACATCAAAGTACCTGTAACGGTAGAAAAGCCTTACCCAGTTCAAATAACCAAGACTGTAGCAGTACCAGTGGAAAAACCTGTATACATCAAAGTGCCTCAGCCTATTCAAGTACCAGTACCCCAGCCTTATCCAGTGGCAGTACCACAACCGGTGCAGATCCAAGTACCGTTCGTAGTTCGACTGCCGGAAGTACCGGGACAGGTCCAGGCAATTTTACCTCCAACGCCTCTAGCGACGCATTTGGAAGGTGCTGCATTTCCAGCTAGTGTAGTACCAGATGCGCCTACATTACCTGAACTTAATCCAACTGATAGTAATAAATTATTTACTTCTTTGGTATCTACAACGGAGTCTTCCCCTTCTACAACAAGTCCCAAACCCAGTTTGCCACCCATTACAGGAAGTGGCCTGCTTCCACCTCACCCTCCATCGAATTTGAATTCGAAACCAAAGTCTGAAGAAGGTTTGTTGAATTCCTACGTTTCTAGCAAGGAAGGGGGAATATATCGTCGTGGTACGGAGTACCAAACCTATGAGTACAAAAAAACTTGGTAGAATTTGCTAAGTTATCGACTGTGATAGTGATAAGTCATTGTTATGTTTTTGTTTACGTTTGTAAATATTTCAATAAAGTAATATGGTAACAAACAGAATAGTTTTTAAGTTTCAAAGTCGTTAATGCTTGCAATATGTAAGATTCTATAATAAAAATGTATCCTAATTTAGTGACAAATCATTAATATTTATAAAATTCATGCCTCGAACTTTATGTGTAAATACTTTTTTGAATATGTCCAAATAATGCAAATATGGAAAGTCGCATTTAGATAGTTCAAAAATGTGTTTCAAATGCAATAAATATTATATATCAAAAAAAATTATAAATAATTGAGCCGGATTACTAAGATATCGGCAGTGATAGTGCTGAGTAACTGTTGTTTTTGTAAATATTATAATAATAAATATAAGGCAGTATAGTTTTAATGTTCCAAAAACATATTTTATTTAATAGATGCTTGCAAAAGCTTTACCAACATGCAAAACTGTATAATTAAAAAGATTAATCCTGATTTAACGACCAATTAGTAACATTTATAAGATTGCTTAATGAGCCAATCGAATATTAGATGAACATAGCAGATCTAGTTGAATATTGAGACACTATAAAACATCCAAAGTTTATTTAACTGTGTCAAAAAATACTTCAAAGACCAAAAAATTCGACAAATCTATGACTATAACACAAGAACTTGCTTAAAGGATTACAATTATCTGTTCTGAATGAGATCTTACAACCTACTGGCAGAGAGTGACCTACTTATTTATAGGTACCTAGAAAACGTGACTATCTACAGTCTGAAAACTACTGCATATGTTATCGTTTTTGTAGTTACACCAGTCGAACACGCGTAGTGTGCATGGAGCCTTAGCCTGCCGGATCTCCGACCTCCATAATATGTAACAGCAGGAGAGATGCCCCCAGGTAGGATGAGCACCTGTGCAGACTGTGTGACAGGTAGATTACGTTGACATTTCGCCAGCGTGTTATATAAGCATGTTTAACATAAATTTAATAAATTGACTATCTGAATTTCCTTTGATAGCAGTTCGAAATGAATCTGTAAATAACCTGTACCGCCTACAGCGTCAAGAAGTATCATAATTTTGGGACTGGAGAACGTTATTTTTTCAGTTATTTAATTACGGATATTTTTAATTAGCGTAAAGTAACCATTTTCTTGTCGTTATTATACCACGCTGGGAAGTAACTTCATTTTTAATTCGATTAATTGCGAATTTTGTTGCACGTCCACAGGCGAGTTGGAAAAACAGAAATACAGGGTGTTTCGCATGAGAACCTACACAGAGCAGAGGCGGGAAAAAAGTCATTTAATTTTGGTAATTGTTTGCCGAGTGTTTTGAAAATGGCCGGGAAGAAGACTTCGCGAAAAAGTTGACATGCTATTAGTGTTAGGTTTCTGTGAAGGAAACTGCAGAATAAATGTTGAAGAATATCGGAGAAGATTTCCAATCTCCCTTAGTGAAACATTTTGCAATGTTCCATAGGAATCTATACAAAGCACCTAAGTTTTAACAGTCAAACAAAGGAATTTATCTTATCTTATGTAACAATAAAAGTTATATATATATATATAAAATATGATTCATAGTTAAAAGTGAACCCAATATAAATCAGTTCGACAATGTTTCCTTAAAAAGTTAAGGGCCAACAACAAATTTTTTTATGGGTAGTACGTCACATTAACCTCATTTATACTATATCTACAAGGTTGCAAACATGAACAAATGTAATTTTATTCTTTCATAACTTGAAGTAATCCTTGGAAATAAAATTCAAAACAAATTTTGAAACAAGGTGTGGACAAATTCTGTTTTGTTATAATTTGTTGTTAATTAATTCTTACATACCAACAAAAAAGATAATGTATTTAATTAAAAATGGGTAAGAGACACGTTTTTTACTGAGAGTTGTTCATATGTAATACAAATTGCATTGTACTGTATTAGTATTATTGTCATTTTCCACACTTTGAAAAAAAAATTCTAGATAACGCAATACAATCTTCCAAACATTACACATTAGAATAATCAGTAAATCTGTGCATTTTATACACCCCGTATATATTACATCAAGTGCAACATCTCTTCAGTCATTAAAAATTTTTTAAGTTCAATATTGCGACATCTTATGTAACATCACTGATGCAGATCAATATTACACGCCTGTCTAATGATAATGATATGCCACATTTTCACTTTCTGTTCTAAAAACGTCGCTCTACTAGTATGTTTCGTAGTAGACCCGTAATATATCACTAAACTAATTTAAGGAATTTGTAAAAATAACATTATATAAGTATTAGATGAGTAAGATGATTAAGGGAAAAGAAAGTTTTCAAATTTTATGGTGATATAAAAGAAGATATGCATGAAATGTTATCATTTCGAACTATCTATTGAGACCAACAAGATATGTGGGAACTTTTGGTGAGTATTAATAATTAAAAAGAACACTTTCTCGCAATGTTTAGTAAATTGTAGTGTTGATTATGCTTTTATCTAAAGTTTTTTAGTCAACATATAGAGAAAAAACAACAGTTTTAGAAATACTCGCATTTCATTAAATTAACCACACTTTTTTTCAGTCTTTTGCACTATTGCTGATCGGACTTGCTTCAGCAGATGACCCAACCACAAAACAATCGAACCTCACAAAAGAAGAAAGTAATCTAAATAAAAGATACGTCGTTTCAATACCCCAATACAATCCACTTTTATATACAAACAGCCAAGCACTGCCGACCCAGCAATTTATATTTGGAAATTCACAAGCCCTTGTAAACTACATCAACGGTCTACAACTCAGAACAGCATCGTTTGGTATTCCAAGTTACTACATCTTACCAAGAAATAATTTTATACAGACGTATACACCGCAAAATGTAGTACCTTCACTTCAGGGTAACATCGTGGCTGCTATACCACAAGCACCGGCCACACCACAAATAGTACAACAACAAATTTTACAAAAACAAAAAATATCGCAGCAAGTACCTCCACAAGTATTACAACAGCAAGTAGTACCTCAACAAGTACTACAACACCAGGTGTTACCACAAATCCTAAAACAGCAAGCAGCTTCACAACAGATAGTACCAGAAATATTACGACAACAAGTAATACCACAAGTTCTAAAGCAATCGGTGGTGCCACAACAGATAGTACCACAAGTACTGCGTCAACAAGTAGTACCCCAACAGATAATACCACAAGTATTACGACAGCAAATAGTGCCCCAACATATAGTGCAACAGCAAGTGGTACCACAACAAATATTATCACAACGGGTAGTACCAAAACAATTATTGCGACAGCAAGAAATATCACAGCAAGTTCTAAGACCACAAATAGTACCACAGCCAGTTCTAAAGCAACAGATAGTACCCCAAAATATACCTCAACCAACGGTACCCCAACAAGTGCAACCACAACAGCTGTTATCACAACAAATCCAAAATAGAATACCATCAATATCTCCATACTTTCAAAACAACATAGTTACACCTCTAGTCCAACAGCGAATAACACCGCTTCCACTGAACGTTCCCTTACAATATCAGTACTACCAACCTCAACCATCAAAAACTCAAGCACTAGTAGGCGGCGAACCGTACCCCTACGAGGTACCACCCGGTCAAACCAAGATCCCAACGGAAAAGCAAGCTCCCGTGTATGTCAAAGTACCACAAGCCGTACCTCAAGTGGAACAAAATTTGCTTTACAGTCCTACTAATGCATACAACCCTGTGTCATACTTCCAAGGACAAGTTAATAGTCAGCCACAGACTTACTATCTGCAGAAACCTAACGGTGGTGAGCAAGAGGTACGCATAGGGTACGACCATTCAAATCTGAACCTAGACGAAGAGTTTCGTCGTGGACAAGAAGTCGTTCCTAGTGCCCAGCCCCACACTGTATACGCGGATCCAAACCTGTTTAGTTCTGAAAACAATCAAGCGGTGGTACGGATAGGGTACGGCCAACCCCATTTGGATCATCATCTCGTTCAAGGACATAGTGATAACGGTCCACAACAAATAAAGTTGAGTTTGCCACAAACTTATGGTGAAGGTGAATCAGGTGGCTATCAATATGGCAGCAACAGACAAACGCGTACACCTGCTGTTGTTGATAAGGACCAAACTAAACTGAAAGAGGCTGAAATTAAAACGTAGTTCTAAGAAGTTATTTATTGAATTTATTAATTATATTTTTTTGAATAAATGCGTAAAAAACTTATTTTCTTTTATATTTGTGAGTGCCACGGTAAAAAAGAGTGTCTCGAAAAAAGCAAGGTCGAAAAAAGGGCCTTACAAACAAAATTAACAGTTAATGGTTAAAAAACATGAGATTAAAATATAACTATGAATCGATTGAATTTAAGCATATAACATATCAGAGATATTCGAAGTAGAAACAAGTTGGAACTTGCAAAAAAAATTAATGGCAAAAGAATTTCTTAAAAAAATATATGTGATATGGGTATAGTGTAAGTGAAAGTGAGAACAAAATGCAACGGGACCACAGAAAAGGTTAGTCTTATTGTTAATAATAACCCAAAAATTATTTTACAAGAAATACTTAAAAATATAGGGCCGAAATAGATTCCTTGAGGTACCATTATATGATTAAAACATTAAATTGAAACCATAATTCCATTTTTAAATATCATAAACTCCTGTTTGTTTTTATCAATTGATTACGAAAAAAAAAAAAAAGTTTGCACATACACACGTTACCCTTTTCGAGATCTGAGGAGAGGCTGTCCTTATTCTAACTTTTTAATTGGCAAATTCCGTTCAAAAGTTTGTTGTCATGAAAGTTAGTCAGCTCACGTAGTCATGTGAATCTAGAAATCGTCTCCTAAAAAATAATGTATTCCCCGAATTCTTTTTTTTTCAAATAATATACGGGGTGATTCAAAACTTATAAAAAAGAGTTTGAATGTACACGATGATTCACTATATTTCGAC